CTCTTCCTTGGTCATCTGCTCCACTGGGATCTGCTTGATGATCACCAGCTTCTGGTCAGCCTTGCGCAGGCACAGGTGTACAATCCTGGGGACACAGTACAGCAGCAGGCACCAGCTGAGCCTCTAGGCACGGGTCAGGTGGGGCAAACCTGGTGACTGGGTGCTCCTTAAAAGAAGGGAATGGGCAGCCAGACTAAGAGGTCATCTAACCAAGGAGTCCTGGTGGCACAGTGGTTAAAGTGCTCAGTTGCAAACGGAAAGGTCGGTAGTTCGAACCCCACCAGCCACTCCACAGGAGAAAGATGTGGCAGTCTGCTTCTACAAAGATTTCAGCCTTGCAAACCTTATGGGGCAGTTCTATTCTGTCCTATAGGGTCACTATGAGTTGGAATCGACTTAATGGCGATGGGTAACCAAGTGCCCAGAGCACTGAGTTTGGGATATGTGAGGAATGATCACAAATTTGGTGTGAGACCTTGTGCAAGTCATTTAACTTATCTGAGACTCAGTTTTACCACAGGCACAATGAGGGAGGTAATCTTGATTGCTAAGTTCCCACAAGAGTCCTTGGGTGGTGCAATTGGTAAACACACTCAGCTGCTAACCACAAGGTCACCCAGAGGCACCTTGGAAGAAAGGCCTGGAGGTCTACTTCTGAAAAATCAGCCACTGAAAACCCTATGAAGCACAGTTGTACTCTGACACACATGGGTCACCATGAGTCAGGGTCAACTTGATGGCAATTGTTTTAAGTTCCCACAGACTCTGAAGTCAACTGCCTGGGTTCAAATCCTGGCTTCTCTTACTAACTGTCTGGTCTTAGATAAGTTATGGAACATCATCATCTGGAAAATAGGGACAATACAGAATCAGCTTCGCAGGGTTGTTAAAAAGATCAAATGAGAAAATGGACATAAGGCACTTAGCCAAGTGCCTGGCACACAGAAAATGTTCAATGAGTATAAACCATTCATATCATTATTTCATTCCAAGTCTGTGGTCAATGTCTATAACAGCAGGGACTACACTGCTCTTGTGTATCCCTAAGTCCTCAGTGCACAGCGCAGTATTTAGCACCTATTAGGAGCTCAACAAATATTTGCTGAATGAATGAACTATTACAAGCTGATCATCTATGTCTCAAATTTTTATCTCCAGCCAGACCTCTCCTCTGAGCCCCAGACTCACACATCCAACTACCTGCTTTGCATCTCCACCTGAATGACTCATAGCCATACTAAATTTTAGCAAATTAAAAATAAAACTCTTGATTCCTACCCCCAAAAACCTTTCCTTCCCCACTGTTTTCCATTTCAGTAAATGGCACCACCATCCTCTAATTATTAAAGTCAGACACTTGAGAATCATCCTGGACTCTTTCCTCCATCTCACACCAACCCATCAGCAAATCCTGGGTTTCCACCTCCAAAATATAATGCACTCATCTACTTCTCTCCATGCCCTCTGCTATAACACTTGATCAGATCATCATCTCTTGCCTAAATTGCACACTAGCCTCTGAAATGGTCCCTTTTACTCTTGTCACCCTCAAATCTAAATTTCACACAGCAGCCAGAGTGATGTTTTAAAAACTCAAATCAGATCAGACCATTCCTCTGCTTAAAACTCTTCCCCTTATAAAACCTGTTGCCATCAAGTCAATTCTGACTCATAGCGAGTCATGAGGACAGAGTAGAACTGCCCCATAGGGTTTCCAAGGAGCAGCTGGGGGATTCCAACTGCTGACCTTTTGGTTAACAGCCGTAGCTGTTAACCATTATGCCACCAGGGCTTCCTTCCCCTTATACTACTGCAAATAAAATCAACCCCTTTACCTTGGCCTACAAGGCCATAATCTGGTCCCTGTCCATAATGACAACCTCATTTTATACCATTCTCTATCCTGCTCATTACATCGCAACTACACTAATCTTTTTCTCAGTTCCTTGAATGCTCTGAATTTTTTCCCCCCTGAGGATCTTCATATCTATGGTATCCTGCCTGAAAAGGCCTTCACTTTCTGGCTACTGCTCTTCATTCCTCAAGTCTTGGCTTTTAACCTCACTGCTCAGAAAAGCCTTCCTTGACTACCCCTAATAAATTCTCTGCCTGGTGGTGTACTTTCCTCACAGCCTGTTAGTAACTTTCATAACTGCCACAACTTCATAACTCTTTTAACAATTTGTCTTGCTTATTGTATAGTTTGCTCCTATAGTCTGTAAATTTTGAGGGAAAGGACCATGCATGTTTTAGTCATAAGTGTTTACTCAGTCTTGGTACCTGACACGTACAGTACAGTTGGCGCTCAGTCATTTGTTGAATGAATGAGTCAGGCGTCAAAGAACTCTGCGGGGGCGTGACCTAATTGAAGGCGGAGGCTCCCGCCAGATCTGAGACCGGACGCCTGGGCGGGGCTTCACAGAGTGAGTGCTCACGCCTTGGGGCGGGGCTAAGCGGGCAGCGATTTCACGGCCAGAGCTGGGACTTATTTCCCCTCTTCCCGAGCACTTGCCTCCCCCAGAGCCCTGGCTCACCCGAATGCACCTCTTCCCACCACTCGGATCCGCTCGTACTTCTCCATCTCATTTCTCAGTCACACTTCCGGAACCCCTCCACATTCAGACACGACGCGTGCGCGGACCCGCCCACTCTAAAGCCCCGCCTCCACCTTGTGAGATATTTGCGGGGCGGAGCAAGTAGAGCTCCAACTTTGGTTCAGACTCACGCCTCTGCGGGTTTCTACCGTCCGGGCAACCCTGACATGCGAGCGCTTTTCTCTCTCGATCCCGCCCCTCACAGGGTGCAGGGAATGGGGCGATATGCCACTTCTTGGCCCCGCAGTGGCCAGCACGGTACTGTCACTTTCCACACATGTGGCCCGATCCAGTCCTTGCAAAGCCTCGGTAGAGCCGAAGGGTACCGCGCCCCGAGAATTAACCCTCCGCAGACCAGGTGGGGGTGGGAAGCGAGGACCGACTCTCTACCCACGAGTGACGTTATTTCGGAAGGAGACAGTGGATTCTCACTGGCACGGAAACGATAAATACTTAACCAAAACTGAACAGACAGCGTCAGCGCTTGCGGTCTGCGGGGCGGGGTGCAGGGGTTAGTTTCGTGTTTGCCTAGGGAGGGACTGGGGAAACCCCGAGCTATGCAGTTTGATTCACCTGGGGAGGATTTGACACAGTTTCTGATCTGTCCCGAGTAGTGCGCACCGCACTTGTCAGCATCCTTCAACTGCCCCCTCCACACACGCAACGCTGCAGCAGGGTGCTCTGCCCTCAGCGCTCAACTAGAAAAAACTTCCTGGGGGGAAGATGCGAGTAGGTGGACTCCTATCTGAAAGTGTCAGGAGAGGAGGAAAGACCCTCTTTTGGCTGGGACGGGTTCAAGACTTCTGCCTAGAGGTAGGGGGTGCTGGCTAGTATGACGATCTAGGGTCTTGACGGGAAATGATTTAATTCAAGGTTCTTTGTGGCGCCTGCTCTGTTGGAGCTCCATAAAAATCTCAGTAATAAGGTGGAGGATGGTGACTAGCTAAAGGTTAGCGTCTCTATTTCTGTGTGGGTATGTTGAGGAAAGTGGTGTTTATCCTCTGCCCCCGCCCCAAACCAACCCACATGGAATGACCACGAGAACCACTCGGTCGCTGGCTCAGGTCGTTGTGGGCAGGCGGACAAAGCTTCCCTGTAAGCAAAGGCGAGCGCAGAGAAGGAAAGCCGCTCACCCGGGACACTAGTGCTCTCACCTAGAAACCAACAGGGCCTTGGTTGAACCAGGAGCCCCACAGGGGTTAATGTGTAACCTTGGAACCACCAGGGGAGGCAGAACAAACACCCACACTGCTTAGTCTCTGGGTCTCTGGCGCCCCAGGCTTCTGGCTTTCTCCTTCCTCCTGCAGCACATTTCCCCTAGCCCCTTGCCCGTTCCTACCCGCGCCGGCTCTCAGAAGCTTCCTCCCTTTGCCCAGGGTCTGGCTAACTTTCCTCAAAAGCCAGTGCCGCGCTCGTTGAAGGAAGGAGGCCCTCGCCACAATGAGGACAGGCTGGCACCTAGTGGCCGCGAGCCGCAATTGCTCCAGGCCATTGGCCTGGAGAGTGAGGGTCATCCCAATAGCCTCGGCAAAGCGTTCATCTTCCCCACCCCAGCCTCCAGGGAGCCAGAAGAGGGCTGGGACTGTCTGAGGGAGGATTGTGACAGCCGCTTGGCCCCAGTAGCCGAAGAGCAGCTGGCAGGAGAGGAGGTGGTGAGTTACTCAATAGTTCCTAAGCATCCACTTGGTGTGGGCAGGAGGGAGGGGGGAAATAGGGGCAAGTAAGCTCGACCATCTTGGCCTGAAGAAGCTAGTGGGTCCAGTGCAGGAACAGGGTCCGTGCAGAGATCATTGTTCGAGGCGGGGCTTCGACCCCTCCCCAGGACCAGGGCTTAGGGGACGTGGGTAGGTGACAGGTCCCGCCCAACTCTGCTCAGAAAGAAGTTGAGGGCGGGGAGGGTTCTTTCAGTCCCCGCCCAGGGCGGGGAAGCCGGTGGCCCCGGGGAAAGTGGGGACTCGGATTAAGGAGGCCAAGCGAGCAAGGGCGGGAGGGGACTCCGTCGGCAGTCGGGAGGCGCCAGCGCGGGGTGCCTCGGCCTCGGCGCCTCCGGGACAGCCCATCCTCACCCGAAGCCTTCGGGGGCCAGGCCGGGCCCGGGAGGCCCCGGGAAATGGGGTTTGCGCCTTTTGCGCGCCACAGGCGCCGGAGGGGCGGGGGCAGGCGGACGGGGCGGGGCGGGGGCGCGGGCGGCTGGGGGCGGGGGCAAAGGCCGCGCGGGGAGGGGCGGGGAGGAGCGAAGGGGCCTAGAGGGCTCTGCGAAAACTGTGAGAGGCTGGCGGCCGGCGCGAGGGCCGGCGGCGGCAAGAGAGGTGTCCGCGGCGGACCAGCCTGAGAGGGAGTCCGTTCCCCGAAGAGCCTGAGGCAGCTGCCTAGAAGGCGGACAGACAGACGGCAGGGAGGGCCAGTATGCCCCCTCTGCTGCACCCCGCCTTACCGCTGCTCCTGGGCGCCACGCTGACCTTCCGGGCGCTCCGGCGCGCGCTCTGTCGCCTGCCCCTGCCCGCGCACGTGCGTGCCGACCCCCTGCGCACCTGGCGCTGGCACAACCTGCTCGTCTCCTTCGCCCATTCCATATTTTCAGGGATCTGGGCGCTGCTGTGGTAAGCGACTGGGGGACTGAAGGTGGCTAGGGGATCCCTCCACAGGGAGCTGGAACTGGCTTCTGCTTGACTTCTTCATCACTCACGGGCTGGCTGAGGCCTTGCAGTCTCACCTGATTCCCTATTTTGGAATCCTATCCAACCATGAGTGGAAGCGGCCCCAGGGGAGGGGGATCTCACCTGGGAAACCGGAGGCACCAGAGTTTCGGCCAATCCCCTCCTTGCTCCCTAGGCAGCCAATAGCGCGAGCGGCTGGCCCAGACTCCCCCAGGACTGGCAAGAGTAACTGGGGAGTTGAGGGCTAGGGCCCTTTAGGGTGCCGAAATGGCGGGAGCCTCCCTTCTTCCCTCCCTTCCAGTTTATGGCAGACCCCCGAAATGCTGGTGGAGATTGAGACGGCATGGTCGCTTTCTGGCTATCTGCTAGTTTGCTTCTCTGCAGGTAGGTCTTGCCCAGGAAGTGTGAAGTTGGTAGAAGAAAGCTTCTTTTTCAGTCCCTTTCACGACCTCTTCCTCCATCCGTCCACTAGGTTATTTCATCCACGACACGGTGGACATCGTGGTGAGCCGGCAGGCTCGAGCTTCTTGGGAATATCTTGTCCATCACGTAATGGTAAGTGAGCAGGGGCCAGGGTATAGACCTTGTGCTGGCAACTTGGGTCTCAGCCCAGTCTCAACCTGGGGAGAAGACCATCTTGTCTTAACCCTGGTCTTACTCATGTCCTACATCTTTCCTCATGCTAAAAGCTGAGGGGTGGCACTGTCCTTGTGCTCCCTGTTTGAGGCCTGCAATCCTTGGTCCCACCTAAACAAAAAACAAACTCATTGCTGTGAGTCTGTTCAGACTCATAGCAACCCAATAGGCCACAGTAGAACTGCCCCATAGTTTCCAAGAAGCAGCTGGTGGATTTGAACTGCCAAACTTTTAATTAGCAGCCAAGCTCTTAACCACTGCACCACCAGGTCGCCCCAGGGCACCTAGCACCTCCTTAAATAGGCTGGAAATTCCACTCAGAGCCAGGCCCTGTGATCAGGGATCAAAATTAAATCATGTTGAATGAAGACAGCATTTTATCCATTTCAGGAGAAAAGAAAGGGGGGCTTTTCCCACTCCCTAAGTGTGGTGTTCATACACCCACCAACTTCCAAGAAAAGTTTTGGCATCTTGGCTCCCTAACACCTGTTCTCTTGCCTTCTAGGCCATAGGTGCCTTTTTCTCAGGAATCTTTTGGAGCAGCTTTGTTGGTGGGGGCGTCTTAACACTACTAGTGGAGGTCAGCAATATCTTCCTTACCATACGCATGATGATGAAGATCAACAATGCTCAGGATCTCCTTCTCTACCGGGTCAACAAGTATGTCAACCTGGTCATGTACTTTTTCTTCCGCCTAGCCCCTCAGGCCTACCTCACCCATTTCTTCCTGCGTTACACGGGCCAAAGGAACTTGGGCACCTTTCTACTGGGCATCCTGCTTATGCTGGACGTGATGATCCTCATCTACTTTTCCCGCCTCCTTCGCTCCGACTTCTGCCCTGAGCGTGTCCCCAGCCGGAAACACAAAGACAAATTCTTGACTGAGTGAAAAGCACAGGGCCTCTCATGGCAAGGCCAGCAAACACAGCCAAGGAGAGCAACTTCACAAAAAAACTAGGACTTTGCCCTAGGCCTGGGGTGTTCTTTGTGGCCAATCTCTGACGGTACCTGCTATTGAAAATACTATGAAAGCGCTCCTGAAGTCCTTGTCCTTTCTTGGGCAAGGGGTGAGGGAAGCAGACAGACCGGTTGGACACGGTGGATGAGTGTGTGGGGCTGTGGCGCTACTCGAAAGCCAGCCAACCCACACACTGCCCTGTAATGGATGCTAATGAGAACTCTCACAGTCAAGTTCTAGTCATCCTAGGACAACTAACCTTAATCTGTGTCACGAGTATCTCTGGTACCTAAGCTCCTACCGCCAGGGGTTACAACAAGGATGGTGGGGTGTTATGGCTGATTGTTTCAATAGTGACAAAGCAGACCAAGAGTCTTGCCCAAGCCCCATAGCTAGGTGTGTGCCAGGGCATGGCTTCCCCTCAGCCCAAGCAGAAACAGACAAGAAGCATATGTGGTGAAAAAATTTATATTTAGAATTAGCCAGCTGGATTCAGTTTAGATGATCCCAATCTGAAAAACAAAAGGGAACTTTGTTACTAAGAGCTGAAATGTGAAGATTAAGTTGGAAAGTTACGGTTTAAAAAAATGAGGGAAAGTAAGGGTGAGGCCTGTTAAGGACAGGGTGCAGTCAGTCAGTCAAGACTAATCACCAAACATCAGGCTTTGGTCACTAACAGAGGCATCATCTGCATCCAGGGGGTGGGTGTTAGGGAGTTTGTAGAAGAGGAAGCTTACTTTGTTGGCAACATCCAAAGCATCATAGTCAGGAGCCAGTCGAACATATGCCTTCTTCTCTCCATCAGGTCTGGGGTGGAGAAGGCAGGCCTTAGTCCTGGATGGTTGCCCCCATTCCCTCCCTTCCTCCCCTAGTCCTCTGATGCATCAGTGGTTCCTTTGTTTGTGTCATTCTTTTCCAACTAGTGATTTTTCCATCATTTGCACAGAGGGTGGTAGGGAAGCCACAAAGTCACAAATTAAGCTAATTCTCAATTCCCTTTCAGGGGAAACACCATAGGCCACAGAACATTTTAGGAGTCAAATCTAGGTAATCTAAACAACTGTTTTATTCTAGAACCTGCCTCTGCCCCCTCAAAAGCCCATACTCCATACAAAGGACTAGTTACAGCAGCAGCTGCTCTTTTCTCCAGGCTTGCAAACCACCAAACCCACTTCTGACCTCAAGAGTAGCATCAAGAAATCTCATGCCACTCAGGACTTCTGGCTTTTAATTGTGGCCCCAGCTTCCCCCCACCCCATCCCCTATCCCATGGGAACCCACTTACCTGATCAAGGTGTTGACCTTGGCCACATCAATGTCATAGAGCTTCTTCACAGCCTGTTTGATCTGGTGCTTGTTGGCCTTGACATCCACAATGAACACAAGTGTGTTATTATCTTCTATCTTCTTCATGGCTGACTCAGTGGTCAGAGGGAACTTGATGATGGCATAGTGGTCAAGCCTGGGAGACAAGGCAAAACGGGGTCACCTGGCCTGCGCCTAGTAGGGGAACAAAAGATGTGCCCTCTTTTGGAGCCCAGTGCATCAGACAATAAGGTAGCAATCATTTCTGTCAGACTTTGGTCGCTGACTAGGCGTCATCATCTGCACCATGAAACCTAGGGACTCTGAGCCCCAGACAGGGGTTAGAGCCTCTGTGCACTTTCTTTCACTGGAGGGGCTCATCTTTGAGTTTCAAACCTTACACATTCTTTATTTAACATTCCTGAGGGGCAGAATAGTCTCACTGAAAGAAATTTTAGACTTGAGAGGTTAAGCAACTTACCTCAAGAGCGCAAGGCTAGCCTAGAAACCCAGGCTAAGGTTCCACTCACTGTGAGACCATTCCTACCCTCTTTGGTTGCTGAAAACTGGCTCTATGCTCGAGCGCCACTGATTCTTGACAGCAACACTTACACCTCAGATTAAATTTACAGTAGCTTCAGCACACCTAGAACACAGTTTTTCCCCTGAAATAACAGAACAAGCCAAGTTCTGCTCACCCAGACACTACTTATCTTGAAGATAGAAATGCAGTCTCAAACTCTCACCACATCAAATTCTACATCCAAATGGGTATGTTTTTTTTTTTTTGGCGGGGGGGAAGGGGATGACTGCTTTCTTTTAACCGCTTTCCTCCATGCACACAATCCACTTTCCTGCTTTCCCTTAGGAAGCAGTGGGAGGAACAGAAACCCATTGGTGTCAACTATCATGGCTCTACTCTAATTTCTGGTCCCTAAAATCAGTTATGGGAAGTAGTTTGACACCAAAATACACAAGAATCCCAACCTTCTGCCTCATCCTCCCCTACCATTCCTTGAACAGTGTGAAGTTTTGGAAGTGAATGAAAAAGCTTTCTGCACATTGTTGCAGGCCACTGATGTCCCCATTGTAAATCTAGAATCAACCCACATCCTTGCTCTCCAGGGCTGTTCACTACAGCAAAACCCAAAACTCCAAGATAAGGAACATCTAAGCCCTACTCTATGCTCTCAGTTAAGTCGACTGTGAAGCCCTAATCACATATAAAGCAATAATTAACCGAAAAGAAAATTTGACAGTGACTCTGAGCTGATTTAAACAGAATCACCACCAATATTGTAAAAGCTTTTCTTGTTCTTACACAGGGCAGAAACAATCTCCTCACATTCTCATTAGGGAAGCCACTGAGCACCAATATGTTTCTGAGAAGCCATACTCCAAGTTGGGCAAACGTTATTTCCAAATTACCAATGGGGGACAGTCAAACATTTCTCCACGTATACGGGGGCAATACTGACTTGTTTCTCCTGGGGGCGCTCTTCCGAGGGTATTTGGGCTGCCTTCGCAGCCTCAGTGTCTTGGACCGCCGGAAGGTGGGTGAAGTGCGGATCTTCTTTTTTTTGTGGCTGTGGACGCCTTTCAGCACTGCCTTCTTGGCCTTCAACGCCTTTGCTTTGGTTTCCGTTTTGGGAGGGGCAGGGGCTGGGAGAGAAGAAAACGAGGGTACGGGACTCAGAAATCTATCACTTTTGGCCTCAATACCTGCGGTGGGCGCCCCTGGCCACACGTGCATCAGTGGTTCCTTTGAAGACATCACAAGTCTCAGGAGGTTAAAATTTTTCCATCATACGCACGACACTGAGGGCAATGGAGGTCTACTTAGTGTAAGCCAAGGACACAACGAAGGAAAAAGGAACTAGCATTGATCGAACGCCTGACACGTGCCAGCAAGTTTACCAGGAGTTTCATACATACCACCGCACACATACCACTCTGGGGGGCTACATAGCCTCGTTTAACAAAAAAAACAAAAAACAAAAAACGAAAACTATAAACCTTTCAGCTCTGGAGACATGGAGCTACAGCATGTGGACGCGTGTAGCTCCTCGATGAATGGTTCGGTCCGGGATTGCCTCCCCCACCTCCTCCTTCACTGGAGCCCAGCCCATGCGGCTGGGCTCTCGCGGCCTACATACGCCGCAGCGTGGCTCAAATGCAGTCAGCGGCTCCAGAGCAGACCCCCCCAGGGATTAACCCAGAAGCTGTACTCCCAGTTCGTTCGCTCTGCGGGGATCTCATGCAAGCCAGGAGTGGCCCCCAACCCTAGCACACACCTTCCTTCTTCGCTTTCGGCGCCATCTTCGTAAAAAGGGCCTTTCTCTCTTCTCACGGGCTTATAGATCCAAGGCTCACAGAAGACTCGCGATACTTTTCACTTAAATCGGATTGGATAACTTGTAGCGTGGCGCCCGCCGGGAATGGTAGTTAGGTTTAATTTTACAGCGAGAGGGACTAAGCATGCGCCACCCCTCCTCTCGTAGGACTCTAAAGCTTCTTGGGAGTTGTAGTTTTTTTCGGACACGTGTTTACTTTCTCTGGCTTGTGGATAGTGCAGCCGGCTGCTGTTTCGGTCTGGTCTCAGACACCTCCCACTTTGAGCAACTTCTACCCTCAAGGAAGACGGCCTGCAGTGCCAGGAGACAGTAACACTGCCACCTGAAAGACTACACTTAGGTTGATTCGGGGAGAGTGAAGCAAAGTTCTAGAACGTTAGAGCAGGGTTTGCCCAGTCCTACTCCCTCAGTCAACACCTGTGGAAAAGGAGGTGCTGAAAAGTGACGTGGTTTATCAATAACGCCAATCTGGTGGCAGTAAAAGTCCAGTCAGGCAGAGGGGTGGAGGAAAGAAGTATCAAAGGAGGTACATGGCGGGCACATTAGTTCTCTCACCTCCCCTTTACCTGTGACAATGTCAGACTTCATGCGCTTTCCCGATAATAGTCTTGAGGAAGTTCTACCAATATTTAAAAGCTCAAGATTTTCCCCAGTACTCGCTAGTCCTTCCTGTGAATAATTACACTCATGGTCCCCTCCCCTGCACCAGTCACCTTTGCATCCTCAAATTCAGTTCCTGACCAAGAGCAAGGCTTAGTGTTGTTCAGGTTTGCCTTCTCTGAGGATCTGTGCCTCCCCTCCCCTTCATCCTTCCCTTTCTATTTTCCCCCTCTCCTTCTGGGCCCAGATTTCCCTTTGACCAAAGTCCAAGAGGATTTCGGAAAAAAGGAAAAGTTGTCCTTGGGGGAGGGGGTAAGATTCTATACCAGAGGGATACACACGTCCCTAAGGGCGGAGTTCCTGGTACACTTAGCCCTTCTTTATCCTCCCTAGGAGACAGCTTGGTTTTCAGCACTCCCAATATACACAGCAGCTTTGGAGAACACTCGACTTCAGACGTCTCTCTGCTCGGTGGGCAACCCGTTCCGACCCTGGCATCCCCTTTACCAGCTTCCCTGCCTCCCTCTGTACCTCCCCCCACCCCTCCCCACCACGAAACCCGGGCAGAAGGGCGAGCGGGGCAGACTCTGAGTCACGTCCTGGGCCTGGAGTCGACGAGGGAAGCGCCGCCTCTCCTTGGGCCCCGTCTCTCCCTCTTTCCCCTCCCCGCCGGCTCCTGGCCTTGTCAGATGCTGCGCAGCAACCACTGATTCCCCATCACTAGTTCGGCTGGGTAAGGGTCCCCGTAGGAGGCATAGGCCGGCACAGGGGTGCAAGGGAGAGCGGCCTGGGGGCTCCCGATCTAGATAGGCTCGGGCGTAAGTGGGGGCGGGTCTTGGTGCTCGATGAGGATTTTGGCGGAGGAGCCTGAGTCTTGGCAGCGCAGAGAGGAGTACCGGAGGGGGGTTGGCTGGGGCGGGCTGCGAGGCCCGGAGCTGTCGGGAGAGGGGCGGGGGGCGGCCCTTCTCCAGGAATTTCCGGGGATCAAGTTACAGGCCCCGCAGAGGGTAGCCGAGTGGGACGCGAAGCCGTGCAGCGGCCTGGACCCTTCGCCCCCGCGTTTAGCGGCCTGCGGGCCTTGGCTGCACCACCCTTGCCTACACTGACCCCGTGTGGCGGGGCCGCTCCGCGCCCCGGGGCCACACTGTTATGGTAGGGCCGCCTCGATCCCAAGTTGTTGTCGGATCTCCGCGGCCCCGGATTATTGTAGGGACCATCCGGCCCCGCGTTATTGTAGGGTCTGCAAGGGCCCCGGCACCCCTGGACGGGACTCCCCGCCCCCATTTGGCGGCTGAGGGGTCTCCCGGCTCCCGAGTCATCTTCGGGACACCTCGGGCCCGGGTGATTGTGGGTTCGCCTCGGCCTCGGGTGATTGTTTCATCCCCGTGGCCAGCGGTGGTCGTAGCATCTCCGAGACCGAGAGCTCCTGTAGGCTCCGCGTGGCCGGCGGTGCTAGTAGCGTCTCCGAGGCCACGGGCTCCCGTAGGGTCCCCGTGGCCCCGAGTTATAGTCGGGACACCTCGGCCGCGGGTGATTGTTGTGTCTCCACGGGCCCGGGTCGCCGGGGTGGATCAGGCCTCCGCGCCTTCTCAGGGCGCCCCGCAAGGCCGCAGACAAGATGAACATCCTGGCGCCTGTGCGGAGGGACCGCGTCCTGGCGGAGCTGCCCCAGGTAGGTGCCAGGGCCACGTCCGGCCTCAGTCTGCCGCGGAGAGTGGGCGGGGAAGAGGCGGCACCAGACCGGTTTTAGAGGATTGAGACCAGACCTGCCGCAGGGTTAGGCCTGCTGCCTCTGGGTGGTCCCCCCCGGGCTGTTTGGCTGGAGGACTAGGGCGAGCAGTGGGTGAGCCCCGTTCTCTTCCACCCGTCTTACTCAGTGCCTGAGGAAGGAGGCCGCTTTGCACGTGCACAAAGACTTCCATCCCCGGGTCACCTGCGCCTGCCAGGAGCACCGGACAGGCACCGTGGGGTGAGTTGGGGACATCCATAACAAAGAAAGGGAGTCCCAGGAAACCCTGTAGTCACAGCAAGGGTGCGTAACCACCCCCTTGGGACTCCATTGCAGCCCCTGCCGGCTGTTTTTTTCCCCTTTTTAAGCCCCTGTGTTCTCCCTCTTCCTCCCAACAGGGTTGTTGTGAGAGTCCTATGAGATGGGACGAGGTAGAAAGGTGGCAGATACCTGACACAGAGAAGGTGCCCAACATGGGGGTGGTCACCTACTCAGCTCCCCACACACCATCCCCCAACCCCAGGGCAGCAGCCTGTGCCTATAGGGATGAGTCCTATCGTGGGTAAAAAAAAAAAAAAGTAATACTAGTAACAATTGCTACCAATAATTGAGCATTTACTGTGTGCCAGGCAGTGTGTTGGGTCTTTTAAGATACATTTAACAGAGATGTGCCTCAGAATATAGGGTGTTTCTCATTTTAGGAGTTCCTGGGTGATGCAAACTGTTAATATGCTCAGCTGCTAACCTAAAGGTTGGAGGTTCAAGTGCACCCAAAGGCGCCTTGGAAGAAAGGCCCTGGATCCACTTCCAAAAAATCAACCATTGAAAACCCTATGGAGCACAGTTCTACTCTGATACACATGGGGTCGCCATGAGTTGGAATCAATTCAATGGCAACTGGATCTCATTTTAACCTTCACAACAACCCAGTAAAGTATATCCTATATCTTCATTTAATAAATGTTGAAACTGAGGTTCAGAGAGGCTGAGTGACTTGTCCAAAGTGACGCAGCCAATAAGTATGAGAGCTGGGATTCAAATTGATGTCTCTCTGGTGCTGAAGCACCAAACACCCCTTCTCCTTAAGCTTATCTGTTTGGGCAGCAGCTGCCTGGGAGGGCTAGTATCTATGGTAACCTCAGCCTGGGTGCAGCTAGCTTTCTGAACCTTGTAGGGGGCACTGGAACTCCCTAGGGTGAAGGGGCTGGTACACACTCACCCTGCCTGTTCTCGTGTCCGGCAGATTTAAGATCTCCAAGGTCATTGTGGTAGGAGACCTGTCAGTGGGGAAGACTTGCCTCATTAATAGGTAAGGGAGTGCTGGAGCTGTGCTGGGCTGGGCTAGGCAGGGTCGGGCTAGGCCAAGCCAGGTAGGCTGGGCTAAGGGCCAGAGCATCTGGTGTCCCCTCAGGTTCTGCAAAGACACCTTTGATAAGAATTATAAGGCCACCATTGGAGTAGACTTCGAGATGGAACGATTTGAGGTGTTGGGCGTCCCCTTCAGTCTGCAGCTGTGAGTGCCTCCTCTACCTCTTTAAGCCTTCCCTTCCCCTGGTACTTACCCCTCATTCTCCCACACACACCTGTGCTTCACCCCTCCTTCTCAGCTGGGATACCGCTGGACAGGAGAGGTTCAAATGCATTGCATCCACCTACTACCGAGGAGCTCAAGGTAAGAGGCTGGGTGAGGTGGGGTAGGTGGGCCTGAGAATGCAGCTGGCCTCTAATCTAGGGCTGGGGGAGTTGGGGAAGTGAGCCACTAGTGTCCTCCCCATCAACTGGTGCTGTTTCTGCCATTCTTGTAGCCATTATCATTGTCTTCAACCTGAATGATGTGGCCTCCTTGGAACACACCAAGTATGTGGGCATACTAAAATATAAATGGGGGGCTGTGGGAAGAGAGGGTTCAGAAAATGGATGGTCAGGGACATGATAGCAAAGAAGAAGAATACATCTAGGACCGGAGAGGGAATAATTAGGCATACTAGTGTCGGGGGAAGAGCTGGTCAGGCTCACTTACCTCTGCCCCTCTGTGGTAGGCAGTGGCTAGCTGAAGCACTCAAGGAGAATGACCCTTCCAGCGTGCTTCTCTTCCTCGTGGGTTCCAAGAAGGATCTGAGTGTGAGTGTGCCAGTGGGGGGACTGCTTACCTTGGTGGGGAAACCCTCCATCCCCCATCTGACTCCGACCTTCCCTCAGACTCCTGCTCAGTATGTGCTGATGGAGAAAGATGCACTCAAGGTGGCCCAAGAGATGAAGGCTGAGTACTGGGCAGTCTCATCTCTCACTGGTGAGTCAGAGGCTTTAGGTCTTCTGCTGCTCCATGCCTAACTTTCCTTCTCACTTCACCTCTAAGCTGTGCCCAATATGCCCGGGCGTGGCACTGCCCCTGAGTGCCCATCTGCTCCCTGTGTCCAGGTGAGAATGTCCGGGAATTCTTCTTCCGGGTGGCAGCACTGACCTTCGAGGCCAACGTGCTAGCTGAGCTGGAGAAATCAGGGGCCCGGCGCATTGGGGATGTTGTCCGTGAGTGCCCGCCTGGATGAGGGTGGCAGAGAGTAAGAGGGACTTCTAATCCCTGATTCACATATTCCCCACCCTTCTTCAGGCATCAAGAGTGATGACAGCAATCTCTACCTAACTGCCAGCAAGAAGAAGCAGACATGTTGCTCATGAGGGATGAGGGGTCTGTCCAGAAACTGCCCAGCCCTGGGGTACTGTGCCACCCTGACTTCCTCAGAGCTTGACCCCTGGACGTTTGCATTGACTGGATTTTTAGACCAAAGAGTTGCCCCTTGGTAGCTGTACCCCCAGAGGGGTAGCTGGGACCATGCTAGTCACTTCCTGCCCCCAGGCACCATGCCAAAGACTGGATGCCCCAGGCCCTCTCCAGGGGCTCTCTAGGGTACCCAGCAGGTAGGGATGAGGGGTGATCCCTGCTGTTTTGCTCAGCCTGCTGGACCCTTTGGGCATGAGGATGCCTAATGATCCTAGATCCCATGTGCCTTATGCATTAAAATCTCCGTGTTTTTAGCACTTTGGGGACTGGAGTCCTTTGTTGGGGAGGAGGAATGTGGAGTGAGTAGGGCTGTGTGGCCATTTTGGGGACCGGAGCCTCCTGCTGGGATTCTGACTATCCCTGGTCCTTGGATAGGGTTCAGACAGGCTGGGAGCTCAGGGACCAGGCTTTGGGGGCCTGCACTGGGCCCTCACTGGGTGAGATCTGAATGGCTAACTTTGGGAAGCCTTTCTTCTGGTCCCTTCCCCCATATACATCCTCATACTTGTTGCTTTTGTTATATCCAAATTTCTACCGTTGGAATCTTTTTTTTTTTTTTTTTAAACCCTCTTCCTGCCTTCTCTCTTAAAAATATTTCTCTGAATACAATGAGAAGTGATTGCATTTTGGATGTTTTTTGATTGACCAGAAGGCCTAGGGAGAATGGGAGCCTGGCTCTCTTTTCAGAAGATGTACTCTTGACTCAGGAGGACCTGCAGTTGAATCCTCATGTCCACCCTTATTAACAGTGGGAACTCAGGCAAATCACTTATCCTCTGTGCCTCAATTTCCTCATCTGTAAAATGGGGCTGATAATACTGAATTCATGAGGTTGTATAGATGAAATAAGAGAAAGCACTAACACATAGTGAGCATTCAAAAACCTTCACTAATAACCATTTTGGGTAAGAGCGACTGTTGACATCTGATCTACAGCCATGAATTGGCCAGGAGTATCTCAGACAGATACCTGGGCCAACAAAGGAGAGACACATGTGGCCTGGTGTCATGCTGGAAAGTCATGGAGAGCCAAGCCTAGAACACAGATCCTGGCTCCCAGTCAGTGAGTGCTCTGTCCCCATTCTATCCCTGGTTCTGTTCTCACCCCGCCCCTCTGTCCCAGAAGGGCTGGCTTTTCTACACAACTTTCCTCCACTTAAGGGGCCCTGGTGGCACAGTGGTTAAGCACTTGGTTGCTAACTGAAGGGTCAGCAGATCAAACCCACCAGCCACCCCGCTGGAGAAATATGTGGCAGTCTGCTTCTGTAAAAATGTTAGCCTTGGAAACCCTATGGGGCAGTTCTACCCTGTCCTGTAGGGTCGCTATGAGTCAGAATCAACTTGACGGCAGTGGGTTTTTTGCCTCCACTTACAAACACTGCCCTTCTCCTGGCTTCCTCTCCTCTGCTTTTCCGGGACCTCCCTAGAGCTATGGTGGGTAGGGGAGCTGGGCAGTGGTGCTACCCACTCAGGCTCCCGGGTCCGGAGGAAAGGCAAAGGTTGGGAACAGGCAGAGCTGGAGCAGCAGGAGGGGCCCTTGATGACCCTGGAAAAACAAGGTTTAACCATCATCCTTTCCCCTCCTCTCTGTGCTTTGAGGTGTATCCTGACTTGAGCCCTTGTGCCAAGAGAAATGCAGGGGTGTGATGTGTGGAATGCGGGAAATTCAGCTCTAAGACTTTTTCACATTCTCCTGTAATTGTTTTTTTCCTTCTCTATGGCCTCACTGGACGGTGCTTCTCACCGCTTGCCTTGCACGGAGCCTGTTAACGCACTGTGTGTGTATACGAAGCCAGGACCGCAGTAATGGTGTGGATTTTTTGTGCTGTGGGGTGTGGGGAGCAGCGGCAGGAGTCTGCGTTGTGTGTGCTGTGTGTATATATGCACGTTGTATTGGTCTTTGTGGTGAGCAGGTTTTTCATGTGCACTGTGTGTGTGATATAGCATGCACAATGTGTATGCTGTACTTAAGGGTCGGAGGGGTGTGCCTGTGAGAGGTGTACGTAGTAGAGGTTACCATGAACGCAGCCAGCCCTGCCCTCCGGACGAGGCAAGCTTATGGAGATACAAACGTGCTCTTTATTGGGTAGTGTTGTCTTTGGGACACGGTGCCCCACGGGACCTAGGAGGAAACGCTGGCGGGCGACGCTGGGCCGGCCTCCTCTGGTGGCCCCGGACCTGGGCCGCCACAGGGGTGCTGGGAGCCGACACCAGGAACTCATCCGAGAATTCGGCAGTGGGCTCCTGTGGAGGGGCCGGCGGTGGAAGGAAGGAGAGCTCAGGCCTGAGCCGCAAGGACCTTGAGGCAGCCGAGAAGGCGGTGCAGACGCCAGAACTGGTCGCTTCCCCCGGGGGCTGGGGGCGGGACTAAGGCCCGAGCGAGATTCGG